CTGAAATGGGTTAAAAACACTGACCGGTCGTTAAGAAAGCTCGTCAGCGTCTCTACTTTCTGCGTAAACTTAGAGAATTTACCACTAACTCTAAGATTCTGCTTAACTTTTATCGCTGCACCCTTGAGAGTTTACTTGTTGGTTCTGTGTCTGTGTGGTTTGGAAACATCACAGATAAAGAAAAGAGAGCGTTAAACAAGGTGCTCCGCTCTGCAAAGAGGACCGTGGGCTGTGAGCTTCCTGTTCTGGAGGTTCTTTATAAATCCAGACTTTTAAACAAAGCTCTTAGGATTGTCAATGACTCTTCTCGCCACCCTGGGAAAGCCATGTTCCAGCTTCTTCCCTCTGGCAGAAGATATCGCTCTCTGAGATGCAGGACATCTCGTTACGCTAACAGTTTTTATCCACAAGCTGTTATCAGTGTGAACAGAGCACTTTAATGATTTGCACTTGTTTTGAACTGTTTTAGTCGATCGATTTCACAGTGACACTTGTTTACTGTTTTATTTTTGTCTTTTAATGTTGTTTTATGTATTTGTCTGTGCACACTGGAGACTTTTGCTAATGTATTCCAATGTGGTTTTTTTTACTGCAAATGGCAAATAAACTGAATCTGAATCTGAATCTGAATCTGTTTCAAACAGTAAGATAAGAGTTCCTTTATTCGTCCAACAGTGGGGAAATTTCGATGTTGCAGCGCACATGCAGGACAGTAGTAAGAGCACACAGGAAGCACACAAAATATACAAAATAAGTAGTAGCTATGTTTCTTAACTAGAATAAATATCTGCAGATACTAAAAAATGTTCAATACCAGTCAAAAAAAATAAATAATATACAGTATATATATACAATATGTAGTAGTGCGGAGTTATATACTGTACATATAGGGCAGGGTAATAAGTAGATAAAGTAAAGTGACATTTAAGAATTTACTTATTTCCAGATGAATGAAATTTACAGGCTCAGTCAGCAGTACCGCATATTGTCGACTTAAATCAACCGTGGCGCCTGGAGGGTTGAAATGAGTGCAGCCAAAAGCTTTCTGAGCACTGGATCTGAAAAACAGGCCCGGTTAAACCATCGTGACCCTAAAACACTTGGTCAGTCCCATCTCATGTCTCCCTCAGGACGATCCGGAGCTCTCGCAGCTTCACCGCGACCTTGCCCGTCTCCTTTTTTTTTGTGGCTTTGTGCGATTATCGGCAGTTTCTCATTGGAGCGCGGCGCTGCTCGTTTGTCATGATTATTGCTGAGTTCGGGCCTGTCATTGGCTTCGGGAGATCAATGGCTGGACTCTCCCTCGTCGTCTAGTGGCAGACCAAACAGCCCCCTCTCTTCGCTAAATGAGGCTTTTCCCTTCGCTATCCATCCATCCATCTGCGTGCCTCTCATTCTGCCTATGTCTTCCTCTCCTCCCAGTCACTTCATCAATTTGGTAGTCTATATATCTTTCTTCTTCCAATCAGCGCTGACACAGTCTCTTGCAAGTATTGAAACAAGTGCAGAGTCACAGCTTAAGCTTTTTGATTGTAAGTTCTTTCTTCTATCCATCCTCCGCAACAGAAAACTCAGCTGTGTAATCATCGAGGTATCATGCTCTTTGCCTTCGATGTACTGCAGTGATCGTTTGTTAAAAATAGACATTAAACAGATGGGAGTGGATGTTGGTTGGTCCACGGTTACTTGAACTCCTAGAGCAGTCAATTTGACAGCTTGTTAGTGTAACTACTCAGCGAATGTTGATCCTCAGAACTTTGTGACTTTTTCTGTTGCTTTATGTATTTTATGTCTGTCATTATTCTTATGAAATTATCTTTTACTTTTGAAATAGAGTAGAGAAGGAGTATCTAGAAAAGAGAAGAAGTATCTATCAATCTATCTATCTATGAGCAAGCGAAATATTGTAAAATAGCTAACAATAGCCTCTTTCTACGTGTTTCAAGTTAAATTCACTACTTTAGTCACTTGTTAAAAGTGAGTAAAGGTAAATTTGAATAAAGCAGTCAAAATTTATCTTGTAGATTCATACAAGTGTTAAGGGGTTCATGTGATAAATAGGGGCCGACCGGATTGAATCTTTTGTTGTCAAAACCAATGGGGATTGTTTGGGATTGATTTTAGATCAATTTAATGCTTATCTGTAAATGTTAAATCCTTCCAAAACGGAACAGAAACCTAAATTGAAAATCAAATATGTCATATATCTCTTAAACAAACAACAGTGTCGTAATGTTAGATGAGCCACCATCACATCAATAGAAGTCAATAATGCCTCATATTATTTATATACTGTAAACACAAATAATAAGTCCAAGGTTCATATTAAATACATTTCAAAGAAGACTAATCACTAATATATGTGTGAATTATTACACAAAACGTGAATAGTGTATATACAGTATGTGAGCTTTAAAATGAGGTACAACATGCCAACATTGGGGAAAGCAATATCTATGTTGGTGGCTAAGTGAGGGCTATAACCTATAAATGATTAAACATAAAAACATCAAAGAAATATTTTTGGCATTAAGTCAAAGAGCGTGTGATTTCACATAACATTAACGGCAAATAGTCAAAGTCAACCCATCCATGCCGTTGTTTTGTCTCATAATGAATCAAAGCACGACCATAAAGCGACTTCACCTTGTACCGATCGCGAATCCTCTGCTGTAACAGATCGTTATAAAACACTATATGCCACTAACAACTCCTTCTTAAGCCTTTTTGGATGATGTGAGCGGTTAGTGGCCCTTTAAATACCACACATTATAATTGTAGAAAATGAGAGAGTAAGTTAATGTGCAAAGAATTTACAGAGAGCGCTAATGATATGCTCTTAATGAGGAATAAATTATGGCCCGGCTAATTGCTCGTGAATGTGAAGAAATATAGAGGAAAAGCTGGCTCTGTCCTCTGTCCTGGAGAGATGACAGTCCGATGTTGTGTCTGGCATATATTTAATAACCACTGCTTTACATCTACAAGCGCTGATGAGTATGTAAACGCAAGCTCAGCAACAGAACCTCATGAAAATTGGCGTTGGTGAAAATCAGGCCGGGGGATAATGTAACAGCGAGACAATATTGCTAAAGTGACATGGTCATTATTGGATCTTGACATGCGACATCAATCATCCAGCCTATCAGCAAGTGTATGGCTCCATCACAGAGGAGCACAAAGCTAAAGTCAATGGGAACATGTCTGCAAATACAATCCAGGGTCATCTACGCATGCAATGTCACGGACGATCACCAAGTGTTAGATGACAGGAGTAATCAGAACGTTTAAAAGTATACGTTCTTTGTATTTTGTCCCGCCTCAAGCTCAGTCCTAACCTTAACCAAATCAACAGTTCTTAACCGAAGTGACTTTTAAAAGGTAAAGGTAAAGGTGCACTTTATTAATCCCCGTAGGGCAATTCAATCCTCTGCATTTGACCCATCCTGATGCCACTAAGGCTTACGTCAGGAGCAGTGGTTGCCGTAGTAACAGCGCCCGGGAACCCATCTCCAGATGTTGATGCTCGGCTTGGTCAGGACTACCAGAGCTGGAGGATTTAACCTAGTGAGCATGTTTTTAGTGGTAGGGAATACTGGAGTAGCCGGAGGAAACCCCACGGGGAGAACATGCAAACTCCACTCAGAAAGACCATGTTACGACCGGTATTCGAACCCAGGATCTTCTTGCTGAGAGGCTGTGTTAGGTGTTTAAGGAGTGTGTTTTTTTTGCCATTAAAAATGTATTGAGTACAAAAATAATTGGTGTACATCACTACCTCACTGTCCTCATTGTTCTCAGCACCAATCACATGCTCCCCTTTGCCAGCCGCACACACTCAGTGGATTGCCAAGTCTGTTTATGTAGCCGTTAGCAGCTAACTGTTTTTTTGTGTGATTTTGGTGAGACTAGAAGAGCTGCAATCTCACAGATAAGAGGTGGAAAACAGTAGAGGACCGAAATCAGGAAACCAGAGGCGGGACATCCAGCAAAATCTCCATAGATACCTTTAAGTTCTCATTTGTAATTTAAATGTGAATATTTACCTTAGCCCGGGATGAGTCCCTTTGGACGGTTGAGACAATTTTATCCATTGCAATTTTGAAAATATTGTTATGAAGTGACAATTAATAATACACACAGCTGTTCACCAATGATACACACAAATAAAACTTCTCCTTTGTTGTTTACTTTGAGTATTTGATTTTCACACAAGCTCAACTTCAGCAACACCAGTCATTTTGTTTACTGCCAACGAAATGACAGCTGCCAATTTTAGCTTTTTCTCTATGTATCGAAACCAAAACAATAAAACAGTCTTATTTTCAGTGATTAAAATGAGTGAGTTGTCTATATACTCCAAATGCATACAGTATATTTCTAGCATGTTTTTTTCCTGTGCTCCTAAATGCATCTGCTCGCCTTGTCTCAAAAGTATTTGTTTGTTCTGACTATATTTCATTGGGTGGACATCTTGTTAACATAGAATTATCCAATCAGAGAGAAAAACAAGCCTCTCATTTGGGTTGCCAGTTTCTTTGGTGAAATATATCCTGTCTGGTCCCAACCAGAACCCCAACACCAGCAGAACATGTTTAACCGGTGCTTAATCAGATACATGTACGTGTGTCGTCTATCACCAGGTGAAGACACAAAAACTCATGGTTCAGACTTTCTTGTAGTAACTTCTGAATGATTACATGTATTCCACAAGTGAGGGATGATTCTAAAGTACTTCACCTCATGACAGAGTGTGTGCATAAGACACAACAGCAGTGTGCAGTAGTTACAGCAGTGTGGGTGGGAGACGCGGGAGAGTGTGGAGAGTAGGTACAGTGCAGTTGTGGTGAGTAAGTTGTGCTCAGCCTGTTAGCTGCAGCCCAGAGCCGGTCCAGTGCCACCCGCAGACTGAGGGGGAGAGCTGATGAGTTTTATCACCTCTCCAAAACCTCTCCTGTGGAACTTCTAATTGACGGCTGGGCCTGTTCGTCTGTCCCACACTATTTCCCATCATGCTCCTCTCTGGCTGGTACCTGCTGCTCCTCCTCCTCACTACTGTTGTTTTCACATGTACCCTGGCTGGGCTCGTCTTTCTGTTGCCGGGTCGGGCTGAGCGGGCCTGACAGGCGGATTCCTTTGCTTTTGGCCGTATTAAAGCCACTTTCTTGCTCTGACAGCCTGCTCTCTCCTGCCACCTCACAGCTCTAGCTTCACACTTCTCTGGGCAGCCACTGCCTCTTGACAGACCACTGTCACTTCCCATCATGCTCTGCACTGATGGCGCCTCCCTCCTCCGCCGCTCTGACACCCACGTACCCACCCCACCCCTCCTTGGCGGGCGCGTGCGAGCCCACTTCCATACCAGTGCAATTATTTTTTTGACAAGCCATCCATCAGCCTTAACTTTAAAAGCTCTGTGCACTGATATCCATTGTTAAGCCCCCCCTCGCGGCTCCTGCCTTCTCCCGCAGATAGAGCTTGCATGAGAGAGTATGATATCAGACATCACCAAACCCACCAAACCATGTAAATTTACTTTGTTCTCAGCTATGTTTCCAATTTCACGTTCAATTTTTCGGTACATTATGCGTAGTTGTTGTGGCTAATGCTATGTTGTCAAAAGCCATTAGAGTTTGTTCCTTTAGCCGTCTCTGAAAACAGGTTACAATTGGTATTCTATATGTGTAAGGCGAGCGCATCGTGGCATCTGCAGTTGTATCCTATTAAAATTATCTGTTCAATTCTCACGTTCTGCGGTCAGAGCAATTTGCAGGCATTAGCAAAGACACATATGAAAATGTCAGCACGTCAGCTAATAACAACCACTGCAAAGGCTGCGCATCGCTGTGAGTCAATAATGCTGCTGAGCTGGTGACACAAATTTGATGGTAATCTAAGAAAATGAATAAGGAGAAAAAGCTCTGCGTTGTTTGAATGGGAATCTTGTCCTGCGTTGGATCATTTGGCACTCTTCCACTTGGCCTACATCTTAGCCAACAGTGAGCAAAGGGGGGTCTGCCAGCACCACTGTCTGGTGCTCTCAAACACACGCATTACATGTGCATGATGAAGCGATGCATTATGCACAGCTACAGAAACTCTTCATCTTCTCAAAGAACAAAGCAGTCGAGCCACAAGGAGCATTTGGAATATGGAACCAAAAAACATACAACTCAAAGAAGACCGCTGTGATAAACTACAAGACTGCGCCTGCTTGGTTCATATGAGAATCAGTGCATGTGTTCCATCATTAACTTGATCATGTGGACTGATGAAGTTTAAGTTTTGTGCTACATGTGACTGTCGTTGGTATATAAGAATCTGTATAATGTCAGATTCAGATTCATTTTATTTGCCATTTGCTGTAAAACCTCATTGGAATACATTTGCAAAAGTTGACTAGGGTGCACCAGACAAGTACATAAATAAAACAAGATTATTGGAGGTGTCATCTTTGAACGTATTGTGACAGTTGCAGTAGGAGTTAGGTAGTAAACGTCTCGAGATCAGTCTTAACCCCTTTTGGTCAGGCATTATTTATAGCTTTAGTTATTTTTTTCTTTAGATAGTAAAATGTATTAGATCTTCTCAAACATGTGACCTAAGTTCTAATGTGCACAATGACCAAAAACAAAAACTACTGCTTTATTTGACTGAAGTCTGTTACATTATGTATGTGTGAAGTGGTGGATTGTTGATTCAAATGCAGATTAGAAAAAGCACTGCACAAATAAAGAACTCAGCAGTGTTTCATAAAGAATATTGAAATGTGGCAAATACAAAGTGACAAAAGTGCTACAGCAGCACTGCAGAGCTCTGCTGCCACATTTGGAATCGCTCCATCAAGCGAGTTAGTTAACTTTAAGCCAATTGCATTCAAAAGCCACCCTTCAACAAAAAGGAAACACAATTAACAAGCTGATACCAGCGTGTGTCTGGAGGACTTAATGAATATCAAATGATACACAAACACATATAAATCTTCATTATCCTGCAGATTTTAATTGATTCCACAATTAAACATGACTAATGCAATATAGGGCAAATCCTGACTTTGTTCTTTCCCAATAATGCCCTATTTGTCTTTTTCTTGTGCGAGTGCGTCATAGCTAATTTCACTTTGCATGTGCTGCTAATTAACAGGGCCAGACAGACAATTCTAGTGCAGGCTCATTTCTTTTGTTTACAGCAGGGAGCCTTCTGTTTCCAATCATTTCCACGGCTCTTAGGAGTCAGTTTGGTCTAATGGCAGAAAATCAAAGTTTCCCTGAACTTTTGGAGCATTCATCAATTCATCCGCAGTAAGAGTTTGCACAGACGTCAGAACCAGACCGAGTCCAGGTCCAGAACAGACATGTGAGATGTGATTGTTGGATACTGAATAATGAAATGCTTCCGACCCCCAGAGACCTCATTGAGTGGATGAATGGTGTAAATATTGTGGGGCTCTTTGTGTGCGTGCGTGTGTGTGTGTGTGTGTGTGTGTGTGTGGGTGGGTGTATTTGAACATATTTACAGTGCAGATGCTGGGAGCACACACCTGCCTGTGTCTGTGGCCCTGACAGCTCTGGTCCCACAAAGCGGAGCCGCCATCAGCATATGGCTATCACTGATCCAGATGGCTCCTGCTTGTCTCCAGACTGACAACTTTGCTCCTCCATTATCAAACACTAGTCATTAACCATAATCAACTATGTGTTAATTAGCCATAATTAAACCATTTCTGTTTGGTCAAAGCCTACTATTTACCAATTACTTGTAATTATATGCACTTGCAGTTGGCAGTGCAGCAGACAGACAGTCGAGCGCTGGGCCTTTTGTTTTCACACAGTTTACATCCTGGAGGAACAGGAGCCACCGCTGCCTCAAAGACAGTAGCTGTATGTGACGGAGAGAGTAGGAGACAAATGTGGATTTAATACTGATGTCAACATTATGCATTAAAACTATAACATTAACTGAGAGATAATATATAAATTCAATCAACTTAAAAAAATAAATGCATGAATATAATAAATATCCAGTAAATCTTCCAGTAACAAGTCGTTCCATCAGAACTGAGTAAATGTAATGTTAGTCTATTGTAGCATTTAGCCTAGTCTCATGTAAACACATGTGAAACAATAATATCTCTTTCAGTGCCTCGTCTAATATGCAGGGCAGCACCTCATGAAGTCGTATTTAAAAGCGTAGCACAGGGAAACAAAGGCTGAGGCTGTGTTATTGGACACAGTGGTGTCATTAAGCATCATATAAAGCCCTCATTAAGACATGATGTGACATTTCTGTTATTATTATCCTGACAGGGGAGAGGGACGTAGCCCCTCTCTTCAGATGGGAGAGTAATTGCTTTTCCCTAAGGCTAAAATCCGACTGATCTGTGAGTTTAGCAACACGAACAACAAGAAGAAGCTAGGACTTAATCAAAGCTGACATATTTGAGTCATGGAGCAAATTACAAGATGCAACAAAGAAGTCCTCATACCAGTGTGTGCTGGATCCTTCACGTCACGTTCCCCAGGTATGAGATAGAAAGTCATATTTAACTATACAGCACCTTTCACAGTCTGATTCATAAAGTGCCACATTTTTTGAGGCCATGTTTCCTCTCACTCCACACAGAGATGGGCTCCCCTGGGGTCGCTGTACAGAGGCACATGCCAGACCTATTGGACCTGTGTTTAGGTAGGGGACACCGGTGCACCCGCAGGAAACCTACACAGACACAGGGAGAACATGCAAACCCCACTCAGAAAAGTCCTGTGTGGTGATTGAATCAAACCCAGGACCTTTTTGCTTCATCAACTTCTCAGAGCTGTATGAACTACTGAAGCTTATGTAACCGCATGTGCTGCAGGTCGCCCTTTAGTCACTACAACTAATGAATTTATTGTTAGAAAAAACTCTAGAATAATCAATTATCAAAATATACATTAGTTAAAGGTATATGGGAGGATTTCCGTCTTCCGGGTGGATCATCTAGACTATTGATCCTCCTAATAGTCAATCATTCTGGTGATATGTGAGACACGTTTTAATAACATCCTTTTTTGACCCTGGAGTTTTTTGAGAACTATCTACACTTGCATCAGGAACTTCGGGCACATACTTTTGACCCTTCCAACATTAGAATAAGTACATTTTCTTTTTTCTAAGAGTTTTTCCTTGTAGATGCAGGTCTAAGGACAGTCCTGATGATCCCGGACACTCGACATTCAACAACATTTATGGACATTTATCAACATGTATAGGCATTGGTTATCCGCCCCATACGGACCAATAGCTCTACATGTTTTTTTTCATTGCATTTCTTGTATTTGAACCGTTTGATTCTCTCTGATCTGTGTTTTGTAAAGTCCTCTGAGATAACTACTGATGTGATACATGACTATACAAAAAAATTGAATTGAATCGAATTAAATCCAAGCCCTCACATCTCTACTGCCCTCTCTCTCAGACGAGCTGCAGTCCCTGGGCTTGTCAGATGTGAGTGATGACCAGGCTGCCTCTGAAAGCATCGCGGGTGGAAATAAAGACAGCGGCGTGTCAGCCCCTCACAAGCACCCATCAGCGCACCTGGATGTATTGACAGGCCCAGGACAGAGGAGGCAAGTGTCCCGGCGCAGTCACAGCTCACCTTGGCTCGGCCTGCAATGTCAGCGACCGGGGCGGCCATCACTCTGCTCCCTGTCCCACGGATTATTTAAAGCCAAACAAATACCAGCACCTGAATGTCACGGCAAGGACGCCCCGCCTCATCGCCACCAATCAGTGTCGCGGGTTCCAAATCACCCTTTCTCCTTCGCGCGGGCCCACAAATCCATCTTGTGCTCCAGCCGCCACACACACCCCCATTCGACCTCTTCCGTAAAGCCGCATGGAGGGGCGGTCCGGCAGCAACGGCAGATTTACAACCCCCACCCCCCACCCCCACCCCACGTCAAGCGCCCGGCGACGATTTATTGACGTTCGTTGTCAGCTTTCTTTTTGAGGAATTGCACGTGGAATTAATTTTAACTACGTCTTAATGTTAAATATCCTGGAAACACTAAATTTCATGGTAGGTGATGGCCGGAGTCGCGGGAGCATATATCACGATCCTTTGTGCGGCGCTGGAAGAGCCTTTTTAAGTCTTTAATTTAATCAGAAGGAGCTCGTAACCACTTCAACTCAGCTGTTAATTACACATCTTTATGCTGAGGAATGATCCCCGGACCCTATTTAATGCATCAAAAGTTTAAGTGATTTAATTTTATTGTTTTTATTACTTAATCATGTCCAAGGCCACAGAAGTATACCGCAAAAAGCTAGTTCGGTGTCACTTGAATAAAAAGATTTTGCGAATCAGCACCGCCCATAACAGGTTTGGATTGGAATATTTTTCCACAATACAAAGAAGTAGCATTGGGACACTTTCTATAAAAAGTGTTCATACCAAATCCTCATATTTGGGAAAAATAAATTCAAAATTACACATCATTAACTACTGCCTCTGGTGGTAGCACAGGGAGTTACAGAAAGCTTTATTTTACCCTTACTACATGTTTCACCATATACTTTCAACTTATAAGATATTATTTCACATTCAAATACATGAAAAGCATCAAGTAAAATGCTCCTTTCTATAACAAGTGTTCACATCTGTAAATAAGTAATCCAATACCTCCAATCCACTTGCACCCTAACTACACATGCTCTGTTCATACTGTTTCTTTAACTTTGCCTTTGAACTGTCTTTAAATATACTTTTTACTTGTTATTTGTACATTTCTCCATTACGAGATCAATTAATTATCTTATCTTATTATGTAAGGTGATCTTGAATGTCTAGAAAGGCCCTTTAAAAAGAAATAAAATGTACTATTAATGTTATTGCTATGATACTATCAGTGGGGGCGGGTCCCAGCTCAAAAGTGGCCAAAATGACGTGCGCTGACATGCTTGCAATACCACCCGGGGCCGCTGGGGGTGGACCCGCAATAAGAATTATCCCATTAACATATAGTATTGGCAGACCTCTCGAAAACGTCTTTACAGGATGGTCCAAAAGTTGGCTCTTGGCCCAAAGCTCCGTTACACATGTGTGTCAATGCTGAGGGGGGTGAATTTTTTTGGACCAGTCTAGTTTATTTTAATTAATTTTTGAAGTCTCTCGTTTAAATGAATAGAGCTCGTGCCGGCTGACGCATGCACAGATTTTGAATCACTCCATGAAAGCCACATTTTTGGCCCATTAGTTAGAACGGCGGAGATAGACGTGACTGCATCTGTTAATATATACAGTCTATGAATATTATACATTGTATCTTGAAATATCCAAGATAGAATGTATAGTACAGTACATGCTGATTGTTCCTTGTCAGGGAAAAAAATCCAACTTGATGTTGTTTACATGTTTTAAGCCTACTGCACTGCTTACCCTTTCATCACATGAGAAAGTGCACAACGGCTGTTTTTCTCTGTAAGTATGAGCCCGAAGAGTGAATAACAGCCCGGCCCAAACATACTCATACTATAAATCACAACCTCTGCAATAAACATGTAAATCTTGATCGATATGTACTTGCCTTTTTCTCTTTTTCAATAACAGCTGCCGTAAAGGCCTGCTGAGCACAAGCGGTCGTAAAAGTATGTAAAATAAATTAGGAGAGCATAATGAGAGGCTCCGGCAATTCCCCCATAAATATAACATAACGACCACAACTAAAATGTCAGAGAATCCAATAAATCAATTTCTCAGGGACAAGCCGGCCTTTATGTCCGCAACACACACTCATATTCAGCAGTCCCCCCTGTTTTCCAGTAGCGTTTGGAGGAGGGAGGGGGGATCTCGGGCTCAACACAGGTCTCTCTCACATGAGGAAGGTTTAATATGTGTTCTATGTGATTCATCACCGTGACACAGACACCTGAGGCCCGGGCCGCTCCATTTCTACTGCCTAAATGGTTTCAGTGGGACCCTCGTGTACACGTGAGGACGCAGAGAGGGAGCGAGGGGCAGGAGGGGGTAATAGATTGACAGAGCAGGCCTCATTTAAAAGCAGAGAGCTATTTTGTCCGCCTGCTGTAATAGATTGTGAGTCCAGCGCACTCCTAATCCAGTGGCAGAGGAAGGAGCAGTGCCAAATCAGATGATTGAGATTACCAGGCCATTTGAGATAACTAACGGCCCAGAGATTGGGACTCATACAGGGGCACAGGTTACAGGGCCATGTCAGCTGCCTGCACTCACTTCAAACTCGATAAGGTGATTATGCAGCTGCAAAGACACAGACCACATGCAGGACTGGGAGCTCTGAGGACCTATAGAGTCGACTTATACAAATACTGTATATTACTTCTTACACATGGATACAGACATGGATACAGTAGATAATGTAGTCTGAACATGAAATACAGCCTTCAGTTTAAGGTGACAGACAGTGAATAAACTCTTTACAATGGTGTCCTATCTGCCACTAGTTCATTACGTTCCTGACGTCTCCAAACAGACATTTACAGGCACCATCACAAGTTGTTTAACCTCATAAGAGCTCTGTGTTGCAAAAACAAATAAATCCAGCAGAACAGCCCACTGCATAGGAATGCAATTATTCTAATAGCATAGCCAGCAAAATAGCTGCAGTCAGTTATAGACAGGCTAATAAGGAGCCAGTGATTGATGGTGGGCTTGTGGAGGCTTCAGAAAGTGGGCATGCGCAGCAGCACTATAGCACTAGTCCCAGCACTAGCACTCTTCTCTTCTACTCTTCTACAGTTCTGCTCTTCTGCAGCCTGCTTCTACAGGACTCCAGCCTCACATTGTGAAAGCTGAAGGTTTGAGCCCAGGCCTGGGTCAGAGGTAACTCTGAGGTCAGTATGTGAGCTGCTCCAAACACATGTGACTGACACAGCAGCGACAGGCTCCTCACACATAACAAACACTTTACACTTTGCTGCTATTTGCAATAAAGTGAGAAACAAAACCTTAAAACTGAAAAACATACTTAGAAAAACAGACACAGCTACGAGGAGCAGATGATGAAGCTAAACACTTGTACAGGAACATTAGGTCATGAGGAGATCACAGAATGATGTTTAAATATTTTGTATATAAAAAGTTAGAAACCTTTGTAAAAAGGTGGGATGAAAAGCCTGCAGTGCATTTGGATGGGGTTGTCTGCCTTGTCCATCAGCATGGGCCTCTGGTGGTGGCTTGTTTAAGAAACAATTAGGAGAATACAGAGCCATTTGCTGTTTGCACTGAGCTTTGCTGGGCAGGCCAGCCGGCTGGAGTACCTTTCACAACTGATTTATAACACTGTCGCCCTAGCAAGGCAACATAATTAATAGGAGCATGGACTTCTAATTCCAATGACTTCCACACCAAGTGGTTTTCATTTGATTTATGATGGCCGGCGACTTTGCATTTTATCAGTTCATTCAGTCATTATTTATGCTGATGACCAATTTCAATGGGTCGCTATCCTCTAACTTGCTACTAATCAAAGAGAATTAGGGTTCACTGCATTATTTAGAAGCTGCTAATTTATCTTTGAACCACGCAAGAGGAATAGTTGGGGGAGCAGTCACTGGAACACACCTCCGCGCCTCAGATGCCCGGGACAATTCCACAAGAGTTACAGCCTGATTCTGTATGGACCCAGTGTTGCCACAAAGCACACTGTCCTAAATCACTCCAATGACGTATTCATAATAAAGATTAATGACATTAGGGGAAAAAATAAAGAACTCCAATGCAGGTCAAAAGTGACTCCGGCTTTAAATCATCACCACCCATGGGCTCGGAATATTAAACAGCTTTAGCTCTTTAGCACCACAGCTTTATCAATGGTGAGGCAATGGCCCTCGTTGTGAAGGTAATGGCTGTAATGGCTCCTACTGATTTGACCGCTTCAGTATGATGAAGGTTGCCGCACTCAGGTAGGACACAACTTATTAAGAGATCCTTTTGTCTCACAGTGGGGAAATTTCAGTGTTGCATCACAAGTTACAGAACAGTGAGGAATGAGGAGCACACAGCACAATGAACGACAACTATATACCAGGGGTCACCAACGCGGTGCCCACGGGCACCAGGTCGCCCGTAAGGACCAGATGAGTCGCCCGCTGGCCTGCTCTAAAAATAGCTCAAATAGAAGCATTCAAGCCTAGTGTATAGTCGCGCGGCGCGGAGCTTACGGTGGTGACGTGACGTCACATGCGCAACGCGTGGATCACGGCAAGGCCCTTACGTAGCCTGCCACGCACCCTCGAATACTACGCGGCCGCCGCCACAGACAAGCTCTGCTGTGATTGGTCCGTGTGTGAGAGAAGCTCAGCTGTGATTGGTTTGTGTGTGATTACTTTCTGTGAAGCATGGAAGCAGGGAGCCCGGACGAGGCACTTCGGAGCAGAGTGCTTCGTGCTTCGAAGGAACCAAAGGAAAAGTAGTTTGGGCTCATGGCAGAGCCTGATATTCTGAGACTGTGGACTAGAGTTCTGTTGCATATCTAACTTATATATAACGTACAAACTGTGCAGTTGTTTCTTTTGCACTGTTCCTGTCTTTGTTTGAATCGTAGCTTATCGCGTCTGTTCCATTCCTCCTGCACTTGTAAATAGTTTGTGTTTTTCTCAGATATTTACCACTTATTGTTTTTCTGTTTGTGTTGAATACAATTTAATAATAACTATGTTTCCAACAAGAACTGTGTCTTTATTCACAGCATCACAGTTAAATGAGTTGAAACGATGAGTTAGAACCGTCACATAAACCTACAGTAGAAACCCATGTAATGATCTCAAACAGATTCACTGTTGTTTTTGTTCTGAAGAGGAGAAAGTAGCAGCATAAATGGGACCGCTTTAGTTACTAAACTCCAGTGAGATCACCATCATGTGTGACGAGAGTTGACTTTTGTATTTTACATGAGTTATTATTGATGATTTGTTAAAAAAAATATGAGTGGCTAGCTAGTTAAAAT